CAAGAGTATTTTTATTATATTTGTTCAAAAAATTCATTATATCAAGAGTTCGCTATATCAAGAGTTGACTGTAATATGCACTATGTATGACGTAATCAAGCATCTTTTATTTACCAGAACTATTAGAACAGATTTTACATTTCTTGGTGATAGATAAATCCCTTTATCACACTCTATTTGTTTCCTGATTATGGTACAAATGCAGTGCTCCCATTCTATGGAAATGCATCGACTTAAAGAGAAATGTCTATTATCGTGCAAAGAATCCCTCTCAATTGAAAAAATTCATAAAATTAGTATGTAGAAAGAAACAACTAGTTTATAGCTTGAATCTAACTAATCTTGAAATTTCATACTACCATCCACTTTCTGATAAAAAAATCAATAATATTGTGCGCTTATTTCCAAATATAATTCATTTAAATTTTAGAAAAAGTATAGGATATAGCGATAAAATGCTAAATCGAATAGCAGAATCATACCTAAATCTGAAGCATCTCAATTTGGAAAAGGATACGTATGTAAGTAGTCATGCTGGAATAATAACTGATAAAGGCCTGTTTGCTTTAGTAAACGCATGCCGTAAATTAGAATATCTAAATATTTCTCACTGCATAGAGATTACTGGAACATCAATTTCTAGTATTATTCGTTCCTATCTAAGATTCCAGGAACTCATCCTTAGTTTTTGTGGAATTAATGATGTGATTATCAGAGAAATTGCTTGTTCATGTCTTAATTTAAAGTATCTTGATCTGGAGGGGTGTTATAAAATTAGCAAAGAAGCTGTAGATCAGCTAAATCGAAATATACATGTTGAGAATTTGTGACGCCTTCTGATTTCATTGGAATAGTTAGTAATCATCTAGTTTAGCTCGAATGCGCCAGTGACATAGAGCTGGTGAAAGAATACTAGCCTTAGAATAGGTGTTATTCTGCCTTATTTAACTAATCTGGATCAGTGATCAGCTCAGAAGATAGTGATTAGCAAAAAGGCTTATTGTTGGTAAAGGCGAAAAAATCATGGATCAGTTTTACGACTATATCTTAGATGTCAGTCTTAAGAAAAAAAATCATTTTTACGCAATCTTCGGTAGAATTCACTCCAGGGGGTATGAAATTTCATGTGTGAAGATAATTTTTTACCTCTATATTTTATATCGCGTGGAACAAACTCAGTAATGGCATAATTAGTATCTAATTCTGGATTTGTCGGTTGATAATTAATTTTCTCTTTAAGCCCATACATTCTTACCATCAAACCGAATCTTTCAGCCATACCTCTCATATCCCGTTCCAATTCCACAATTGACTTTTGATAATGTTCATCTTTAATCTTGTCTTCGCAGTATTGTACAATATCTTCAAGATTCACATAAGTTAACCATAAATACTGTACTAAATTGACTAGTATTACCTGAAGATCATTAAGTTCTTTTTCTGGCCTCATGTCAAGCACTGAATCCCGCTTTATCTTAATTTTTGGATTAAGTTTGCTCAATGCATCTTTACCAACATTTGTCAACTGTATGCCAAGAAATTCTAAACTAGAACAATGTTACGCAATTTATCAATGACTATATCAGTAACTAAACAGCAACACTTGATATCAAGATATCTTAAATTTTTACACGAACGTACAATATTACAGATAGTTGTGTTAGAAGCATCAGAAGCACCGATATCAAGATGTTTGAGCTTCGGGCAAGAGTTAGCAATATTACAAATAGATGAATCAGTAATAAATCTACACTGATCAAGTTCAAGGTATTCTAAATTATGAATATGTTGCAACAATCTATTAACTGAAACGTCTGTAATATTATGACAACCTTTTAAAGAGAGATGGCGAAGATTAGGACATGAGTGAGCTATTGCAACTATCGTCTGATCAGAAATTGGCTTACACTGTTTTAATCCACCAATGCATAAAAGTTCTAATTTAGAACATGCTTCTACTATTTTATAAACGAAATCATTAGTGATATTCCCACAGAAACCAATATTAAGGTGGCGTATTTTTTGGCACGATTTTGCAATTTTATATATGGAGTGGCCAGTTATATCTTGGTTATTACAGACATTGAGAGATTCTAAGTTGGGATAAGATCAAGCAATTTCTATAAGTGATGCATCAGTAAAACTTTTATTTTGTTCAAAATTTAAACTGGTTATATTTGAATATGAGTGTAGAACACAGAGAATTTTATTATCTGAGAGTCTAGAATAATGCGTAATTTTGAGACTTCTTAGGCTTGAAGTATAAGATGTTTTCTGTTTATTACATGCTGACTCTAAAAAATTTTCCAAAAGGGTAATATTCTCACCAGAGACGGATAGTTCATGGTCGTAATCTGATGCCCTATCTCCTACAAACTCGAGGTGTGTAACTTCTTCATTGCTAGTATCAATCTCGTTTTCTTTTATTTCAGATGTCATTTTTGTCAGTTATAATAATATATATATTCAAAATGGAAAAATAATTTCTCGTAAGAATCACTGCAGTTGCGCAGAAACTACGTCATCTATACTTTTCCGCAGTAACTGAGGTGCTTTGCATGATTGATCATTAGCTCAGAAAATTTCACTGGGCCACACGCATGTACTCTTGTGCGACAAAAATAAGTGGATCACTAAACACGTTTGTGTGACAGCCGTTGAGGCGCTAAAGCATATTAATTTTTGCATATATATTTGAAAAAGAGAACATATTAACCTTTGCTCTTTATTTTTCCCCAAACAAATGTAAGAAAATGTGAAAGAAAGTCTAGACGCAACACAGGACCAACTCTAAAAGTAAATATTGATAGCAAAAGCATATGTTATGAAGGGCTGAGAACTTTGTAATTTTGAGATTTACAAGAACTAACTACCTTTGCGTCTTTTCAGTAGATCTACATGTGAAAAGGTATGAGGATTCCGTTTACATGTGCTTTCATGAAGCTCTTGGTATCAGACGACAATACTAATCACACCTTCATACCTCCTTAACTTCAGCTTGGCGCTCTTTTTCCCAGCAAAATATAAAGCATGTAGTGGTATATGGAAGTTCAGCCAACTTTCTCGCAACATTTTCTCAGAGAAAATAACTCAAAATAAGGTATGTATATGTCATAAATTATGTACTGTATTTATGGAGCAAGTTTTTTTCACAATGGATTCTTATATTTAGGAAAGCAAGATGTCTTCCATGGCTGATACGATAAAAGAATGGGAAACTGAAAGACTTTTTGCAGAGCGATTCTAATTTTGAAAGCTTAAAACTTGACAATAACTTTTTTACGAAGCTTTATGATGAATAAATCGCCGGTCATTTATTTCTCAAGCTAACTAGATAGGAATTTAAGGAATACGGGATGATATTAAGACAAGCGTTAGAACTTGAGGATTATATTAAAGATCTATGTGAGTAATTATACAAAGGCGCTTTACATAGGCATTATGGTTGTATAGTCTTATTTTATAAAATCAAGATAATCGAAAAGGAGGATTAGCAATTTACCATGTGAAAGGGTCTGGTTCAAAATCAAGTGATTCCCCAACTAGTTAGAAATTTTTTATCTATATTTGTGTCATATAAAGCGATATATTTACAATTTTTATGTATTGTAGGCCAACTTCTGGCAAGGTTTATTTATTTTTTAAATAAAGCATATATTATGTTCTTGTCATAAATCTTAAATATCACGTGTAATGATGTAATATAATCACCTGACAATCCTGTATTACATCTTAATTACATATATATTGGGCAAATGCATTATGAATCGATACAAAAAAAAATCTATCATTTCACTCCAAGCGTCGAAACCAAAATACTTTTATATCCATAAACCAACTTTACCTGTAACTGCAGTCAAATGCATATTTTTTCGCAAGCACAAACCTACATATATAAAAACTATATCTTCACAAGCTTCTTAATCCGCTTCACCCGCTTTAATAATAGAAGAAATTTCTTCTCGAACAATATCGGACGTGGTTAAGGATTTTAATACAGAGGAGCTTATCGATTATTTGAAGAGGAAAAACTTAAAACTTGATAAAGATGATATTAAAATTCTTTGTAAAGAGAAAATTTCTGGTCTTGCCTTTCTCAAGTTAATTAAGAAAGACTTTTGCAGTATTGGCCTCGCATTAGGTCAAGCAACAGTTCTTGTAGAATTCATTGAAGACCTCAGCCAGAAATTACGAAAATACTCCTCGCTTAAAACTCTCGACAACCTGAAGGAAATGTTACATAGAAATAAGGTTAATGGGAAAGATATTACAAATATCAAGCAGTTTACTCCCGGTAGGTAATTAATTATTTTTCGAAACTGACTAGATAGCTATATTAACTTTATTTTTCTCTATAGTCTTCGAGGAGATTAGTGATGATGATAAAGCATTCGAACACTGTATGGAGGACATTATCTTAAAACTTTTAAACGTGGAGACCATGACTGATACTAACGAGGCGACATGCTGTGAATTAATTTCAGCGATATTACACACATCAATTGCCATCGCCAAAAAACTCACCTCTCAAGATATATTTATAGTTTTACAGAAAGACGTTTCTGGTGAAGATGCGACAGGTCGAGTAGACTATACGATCAAAAGTTTAGAAGACCTCCTTTGTATACTGAAAGAAAACTGTGTAATATTAAGATTGGATATGCCCAGGTAAGACTGTTTGTCTTCTCAGTCTATTGGCTTTGAAACAAGACTAAATAGTGATGTATTTATCTCTTAGAATCTAGCATAGCTTGAAAGTGCATTTCAGACAAATAAAAAGAAATGGACTGCAGATCAAGCATTTGGGAATGACTATTTCGACTATATCTATAGTATTGTGACCACAGGTACGGAGTGGCATTTTATCATATATACACCTGATGGTATATACTCTACAAGTGGAAGTGAATATCAAATTAATCTCACAAAGTCTACCATTAAAGAAAATCCTGAACTACTTCAAAATAACGTAAAAAGGGTAATAGGTATAATTGTTAGATTGTTGAAGGATCGGGTCAGTGTAGATAGTTCTCCGTCTAGCAAGAGGGTTAAGATCAAAAAAATTATCAAAAAATAATATGTATCTGGTTAGCTTTGCTAACCAATATTTGTATTTATTTGCATGTATTAATAAAAAAATTCAGCCAGTGGCGCCCAAGTCAAAAAACACATTTTTTTATTTTGAATGCTTATATACATTGTATTAGTTATATATAAATCATGTCATCTGAGCTTGAATTATTGAAACAGCGTATCATTGAACTTGAAGCTAAGAACAACAAGCTTGAGGCTGAGAATGCAGAGCTTAGAAAGGAGAATACTGAGATCCACGATCTTAGATTCAAGCTCTCAGTGTCTGATGCTGAAATAGCTGAATTTAAGCGTAGGAATGCGAAGACTCTAAGATCGAATGCAGAATATAATGAGAGACGTGATGCTGAGAATATCAAACTCAAGGCTAGAATTGAGGAGTTAGAATCTGAGTTTAGAGATAGACTCACGAAAGTGGAACAGAAGCAAACACTAAATGATAATACCCCTAATAATAATACCTTTAACAAAAACTCATCTAACTTTGCTTTAGCGCCTTCAGTCAATTCGGGTATGGTTTATCATGAAAAACCGTTAGAAGAGAAAGAAATAGATAGTTTCTTACTTAAGACTTATAAGAAAATCGTTAGTAGTGGAATAAAGTAATACAATAAGGAAAAAAAACTTAGCAAAGCAGAACAAGCATCTCTTAACCAAGATCAAGAATCTGACACTGGATGCTTTACTTCTGAAAAGATACCGGAGGTATCAAATCCTGTGACTAAAATTTCAGCCAGGACCCAGCCAAAATAGCCATAGAAAGAAAGGTGTAAAAAATATCGTACAAATGATAGCTGATGGTATTAAGGAAGATACCCAATCGAGTGATAAAGCCACTCCTTATGATGTGATTTCAATTGAGAGTCTCAACCAAAATTCATCTACAGATTCATTGCTTTCTCTAGCATAATTATTCAATAAAGCGGATGATGCCAAATATGGTACAATTCGTGCTAATCAGAAAGAGATTTTGTGCTTGTATTATTATGGAAAAGAATTTTTAACCCAGGTTACTATGATTGTACAAGATGGAAAAGGCAAAATAGACGAAAAAAAGGCAAAGAGAATAATCTATAATAAAATGTTGGAATACCTATCTGTGTTGCGAAAGCAATGATCTGAAGATACAGGATTACGTCTCCCAGAAATCTCCCGTAAAAACTTACAAAGGAAAACTCAGAAAGCTGTAAAGATATATATAATATTTGAAAAGGTAGGCGTAGAGAATATTAAGTATATTATTACATATAGTGTGAACTCTATTTCTGAGTTGACTAATGATAAAGTTCAAGATATCATAGAGGCCTCAGAAAGGCAGGATAATTTATCTGAGCATAATGATAATGATAACACTGATGTGAAAGAAGTACTAACCAATATGGTTAGGATTTCAGCCAGGGCCCCGGTCAAATCATGTAACTAAAAATCCTGAAACCAGAGAAAGAATTATAAATGCTCCACTGACTTTGGAATCAACTGAGATTAATACATCGGCAAATGTATTATCTGCATCTCAATCTCATCCACCAATTCCTAGGACTAAGCCAACTTATGACCAACCCTATTTTCGCAACAAGGTATTGGATCAATATCTTAATCTATATAGAGAATGTAGTTGTGAAAATTTCAATTATTATGGGATTACTGATGAGACATCATGCGGGGACTACATCTGCCCATTATGCAGATTAGGTCATGATGATGAAGAAATAGAAGGTGAGTATAAAGCCGGATCTTACTTTATTAAATGTGAACAGCATGAAATTGAAATAGTTGCGTAGTCTCATTGCCTGCTCCCTTGTCCAAGGACTGCGGGATGTATTAATCAGCTCTAAAAACCTGTTATCAAGCCCATCTCCTGAAGGTCTTGACCGAAGGAGGGGAATTTTAATCTTTTTTTTTCGAATAAATAGGTCTATATGAGAAAAAGGGATTTAAATTGTTTGTAGTCATATAAAAAGGAAAATGACTGAGTCTATTAAAATACTAACCGCTGATTATCTGGATTGGCATGCCAAATTAACTGGGTTACCAAGTATTTTGACAGATAAGATTTGTTCCAAATTATACAAAAGATATAAAAAAGAAGCTGGGCATGAGCCATAGCAACTATCAGAAGTACATGAATCAGAAGTCATAAATTTGATGCCAGGAAACAAAGTATCATATTTATCTTTTCCCTCCTCCGGTGAGCAATGTGAAGAAAAAGGGCCTATCACCTTCGAAGCTAAACCTGATTCAGAGTTAATTATCAAATCCGTGTTAAAGCATTTCACATACTTGAAATTCTGAAATAGTTTTAGAGGGATTGATAATTATAATTTTGCATTTGCTCAGCCATGGAGCTC